AGAGAAAGACAAGGAGAGACCAGAGAGAGACCAGAGAGAGACCAGAGAGAGACCAGAGAGAGACCAGAGAGAGAGACCAGAGAGAGACCAGAGAGAGAGACCAGAGAAAGACCAGAGAGAGACCATGGAGAGAGACCAGAGAGAGACCAGAGAGAGACCAGAGGGAGAGACCAAAGAGAGAGACCAGAGAGAGACCAGAGAGAGACCAGAGAGAGACCAGAGAGAGACCAGAAATGCAAAATATGTCTTAATTTGAGCACATTCTGCGTCAAAACAAGATTTCCCAATGGGACAACGAGCAAAATGATCTTGTTTTAGAAACAAATGTCTCTCTTGGAATGAGAACACTGTGAATAGCTTTGTTCCCATTGGAATCTCGCCTTAACACATATTTCATCATTTTTGGTTAAAATTGGTTTTGAATATGAGGATTTGAAGGACTCTCGGATCCTTTCCACAAACAGAGGCCAGTCCAGTTCACCCAGATCCAGTCCAGTTCACCCAGACCCAGTCCAGTTCACCCAGATCCCGTCCAGTTCACCCAGATCCCGTCCAGTTCACCCAGACCCAGTCCAGTTCACCCAGATCCAGTCCAGTTCACCCAGATCCAGTCCAGTTCACCCAGATCCAGTCCAGTTCACCCAGACCCAGTCCAGTTCACCCAGATCCAGTCCAGTTCACCCAGATCCAGTCCAGTTCACCCAGATCCAGTCCAGTAAGTATGTAGTAAGTAATCTTTATTTATATACCGCCTTTTCACTGCACATCGGAGTCTCAAAGCGGTTTACAATTGTTATTTTTTGGGAGTGGGGTTGCCAGTACAGGAGGCACATGCTAGAACTATTGTACATATTTTTAGTGGTAGGGGAAACCGGAGCACCTCTGCACCTTCTCCATCGACTCCCACTGATGACTGCTGTCGTTGTGTCCTTGGGCAAGACACTTAACCCCACTTTGCCCAAAGCCCCAACTGAAAGATCAAGGCTATGCTCACACTCAGAGAGCAGCGGTCCTCCTGTGGACTCACCACCTGCAGAGGGTCAGTGAGGGGCTGGTGCTATGAGACTTGGGTGGCATCTCTGACTGCCACCCCCCTGACCCAGAAATGGATTAAAGGGTAGAAAATGGATGGATGGATGGGAAACCGGAGCACCCGGAGGAAACCTACGCAGACACAGGGAGAACATGCAAACTCCACTCAGAAAGGCCCTGGTCCAACCGGGATTTGAACCCAGGACCTTCTTGCTGAGAGGCGAGCGTGCTATCCACCCAGCCACCGTGCCGCCCGTCCTGTTCACCCAGACCCAGTCCAGTTCACCCAGATCCCGTCTTCATACTCTGACTGTATTTCTGCACGTACGCGGCTCTTACACAACCACGATGGAACTGGATACGGCGCTCTCAGCTCCCTCATCCTCCTTCTGATCCCTGTGGTCCCGCCTCGGACCACTGGAGCAGAACCAAGATAGCGATAAAGAGAGTGAGAAAAGGAGAGCAGAGAGAGAGAAGGGGATCAGAGAGAGGAGAGAGCAAAGAAAGGGAGAACAGAGAGACAAAAAAGGAAAGCAGAGAAGGGAGAAAAGGGGAGAGAGGGGAGGGAGAGACCAGAGAGAGACCAGAGTGAAAGGCCAGTGAGAGAACCAGAGAAAGGCTAGAGAGAGAGAGACCAGAGAGAGACCAGAAAGAGACCAGAGAGAGACCAGAGCGAGTACAAATCACTGGAGGAGCTGTAGATTATCACTTATGCAGACATTCTGAGTTTGCCTTCAGTAACAGAGTGTTTTGAACATGTGCCGATGACAGAGGCCAGGTCTGCTCTGGGCCTGACGGGTCTGGGTCTGAGATTGACAGGTCTGGGTCTGAGATTGACAAGAGACACTTGAGAATAAAAAGAAGAGGCTCGTCTCGGGTATTTATTTATGGTGCAATGGTAGAAGAAAAGATGAGAGAGAGTCAGAAAGATCAAATACTGTATATAGACATGGTCAAGGTGAAGCCTAAGTCATGGTGCTATTGTGTGAGCGATTATTTATTTTGAGTTGTACATCAAATCATCCATTCATATTCACTGATTACAATAACATCATTCAAACTCAAAAAGGTAAGGAGTAGGAGGAAGAAAAAACCTTATAGATTCCCACCCCAGCCAATCCCGACGCAGCACAGTCACCTCAGCCAATCCCGACGCAGCACAGTCACCTCAGCCAATCCCGACGCAGCAGGCACCAGAGCATCAACAACTAGTAACGAACCAAAGCCTCGAACTAAACACACCCTACCCCACCGGTGACAGGCCACGTTCAGCCGACTTCATTCAACCACAATTTTTTAGATTTTTTATCCTACTTTCTTCTAATTCATGTTTCTTTTCTTTTTTTACTAGACAACAACATATTTTCACTTTGGTCAAATTGATTGTGTTAGTGTTTACATTCAAACTATTAACATACAAAAATCATATTGTGTGTGTGTTTGTGTGGACCAGGTCTACAGTGTGTCCTTTGTTGTGGATCTGGATCTACAGCCTCAGACCTGGATCTATAGCCTCAGTCCTGGGTCTACAGCCTCAGTGGATCCTCAGTCCTGGATCTACAGCCTCAGTCCTGGATCTATAGCCTCAGTCCTGGGTCTACAGCCTCAGACCTAGATCTACAGCCTCAGTCCTGGATCTATAGCCTCAGTCCTGGATCTACAGCCTCAGACCTGGATCTACAGCCTCAGTCCTGGATCTACAGCCTCAGTCCTGGATCTACAGCCTCAGTCCTGGATCTACAGCCTCAGTCCTGGATCTACAGCCTCAGTCCTGGATCTACAGCCTCAGTCCTGGATCTATAGCCTCAGTCCTGGATCTACAGCCTCAGACCTGGATCTACAGCCTCAGTCCTGGATCTACAGCCTCAGTCCTGGATCTACAGCCCGTCCGTCCCTGTGATCTGTGACTATGCTGTTTCATAACTTACCTTTGTCCGTAAGTATTTTCTCCTCATAAAAAGCCTAATAATTATAGCCATAAATGTGAGCCTTGTTCTGGTTCGCAGCTGCACCTCTGTGACCTACATTTTTCTTATATAATCGATGGTTCGTGACTCGGGGACAGGTGTGCGGCAGGTTCCCAGGCGTTTGTTCTTCCACTAAACAAACAAAGAGAGTTTCAGCCTCAGCGTGTGTCGCATACTATACACACTACACACACTACACACACACGGCTTCATTCACAAGAATCTCAAGGAATCTCACTGAGACTTGGAGGTTTGCAAAGGCATTAGGTTTGATTACCAGACTAAGCAGCTCGAGTCCTGACTAGAACCAGGAAGTAGGATCACATTAGTCCTGGTCTCAGGTCTCTGCACCTGTGGCTCAGAGAATAGACCTTAAACTAAAATGTATTCTTTCAAGTTTCTCCAGGGCCTCTAATTACATCTGTGACATGTTTGTGCTATATGAACCAACTCTTAGGAGCACAGGGACTGGCCTCCTGCTGGGACTCTGAGGAGCACAGGGACTGGCCTTCTGCTGGGACTCTGAGGAGCACAGGGACTGGCCTTCTGCTGGGACTCTGAGGAGCACAGGGTCTTGCCTCCTGCTGGGACTCTGAGAGCACAGGGTCTTGCCTCCTGCTGGGACTCTGAGGAGCACAGGGTCTTGCCTCCTGCTGGAACTCTGAGCACTGTAAAAAGTGTTGCTTTAATCAGAAACAAAAAAAATACCATAAGAGGTTGCATCGGCCTTTTTGAGTACTATCAACTTCAGCTCTTTATTAAGTAATAAAGAACATTAAATTCAATTTGACAGAAAGCAAAAATATTACTTTGAAGTGATGGATTTACTAAATATTTGTGTGTCATTTCAAAGCAAAACTAACTTGGAGATTATCAATTTACTCAATATTTTTGTGTTCATTCAAAGTGTAGCTCTCCCCCACCTGGAGGTAATCATTATATTGTATGATTCTGAAACTCTGAAGCTCTCATGCTGAGAAGTGATAGTGCCTGCAACTCATTAGAGCTTGGTTTTAAGCAAGAATGATGATCCTTTCATAGTGTCTGATGGTCATCTAATTAGAACCCAGGTACTATACAGTAGGACTCAATGGTGTAGGTTTGGTTCCAATCTTGGTGGGGACATTCACTACGACCTGAGTTTACACCCATTGACACGGGGTCCAGAGTTTCTTCCCCAGAATTTGTTGTGTAATCACACACTATATTTGCAATAGTGTGTTGCCTTCTACCACCAACAAAACCAAATAAATACTTTCAACCTCACCTGAAGCCCTGAAGGTCAAGCCACTTCCTCATCCTCTACCAGTACTGCACATTCCCTGTTTGTCTGACTTTCCTTTATGGTATTAATAAAAACACACATTCTACATTGAATAAAATGAAACCTAGGCATGGTACACCAGTCGCTAAATATCTCATGAAACTAGAATTGGTTGATGGGTCTAAGATTTTAACTGCTTAATCCTAACCTCACCTGGAGTCCTGTCTTGTCCTTGTCTTTATCTCCTTCTTGAATTTCCATTATATCTCTCAGAGTGTCCTATATTTAGTAAAAGATTTCAGAAAACACTTTTTGCATCATTATAGTAGTAAAATATGTTGTAATTGGCATAGGTAATTTCCAACCAAATGATGTTCTTTAACTTTAGTATGATTCTATACTGACTTAAACCTAATCCAAATCTACATAATAGCCCTCACCTGAGGCTCTAGGAACTGCTCTCGATACTTGAAATAAATCATGCTCTGATCTTTCAATTTCCTATAATAAATAAAAATAGAGGAGAAAATATTGAATTAGAATCTACAGTGAGTAGCTCACTACATTGTTTGACATATACGACCAATCTCTAAAAACAATTCATAGTCCCATGCATACCTACAAAATTCCAACCTCACCTGATGCACTGAAGGGCCTGTTGCTTCTACCTCAACATTCCCTATATTGTTCTCTCTTGGTGGTTGAGTTTCCTATGTATGTTAACAGAAGATTAATCATCACAATTCATAATTTGCTATTACTTGTGCTTTCTCTTACTTACTTTCCAACTGTTAAAAAAGCTCCTGATATCTTTTATCTTTTTTTGTGGAGGTGGCATTTTTTCTAAATTATATAAGAAGGTATAGACAATCAAAAACAGACATTCATATACATGAACTGCAGAATCATTTATATAACTTGGCCAATGTCAAAAGTTACATAGTATTTCTCAATACAATGAGTTAACAAGAGTTTGGCAATAAGTAACAGTGTGGATTTTTCTATATTTTCTTTTTTTTATTCCACTCTCAACCCAAAAAGGCAAGTAATGACTCACAGGGCTCTCAAGTATGCAAAATAAAAACTTAAATGACCTGTTGTGGTGTGTTTTGCGCACAACCAGCATGCATCGTTAACGCAATGGAAAATTTAGGTATCCAAGCTTTAATTTCGGGAGCGCTGGTTGCGCTTTGGGAAGAGTCAGGGGAGAGACATGTCAGAGACACAGGGGAGAAACGGGGGAGATACGAGGGAGACCCGCACTTGCAACATGGTTCTGTCTGCATATGGTCCGAGCTCAGTACCATGTTAGAGCTGTGCTTTCACTGAGCGCCGCGGCTGGGGAGGAGGAGGCGCGACGTGTGCACAAACCAAAGACATGTGTCCCGGACCGTCCGGGTCACGGGACATCATGTCATTTTGGTGGGGACTTTTTAGTCCTCACCAAATATTGGTGGGGACATGTCCCCATGGTCCCCACGCAAACCTACGCCCTTGGTAGGACTGCTCTGGCTTGGCCCTGTCGATTATGGTTGGTAAAAATAAATACAATTACTTTTTTGGTCAAATTGGTTCATTCAAAATATTGCTCAAGTATTTTGCTTTAGGACTTGCTTCATATTCAAAAATGAATGATCAAATGTAAAATGTTTAAGAAGTTTATAATTTTCCCTGCAATGCATTCTGGGTAGCATCACTGCTTCGCCACATTTTGTTTTCAATCAACACAAATATATTTGTTTTGTCATTAATGGACCACCAGGCTTATAGAAGAAATATTATTATTTAAGTATTTTCACTTGAAGTAATGAAATCAGTATTGTACAGGGTGCTATGATAATATTATACAGTACTTATATTAAAACAGTGGAAAATGAAGTATATAGTAATTACTTAAAATATTTTACATCAAAGTTTGGTCTGATTCACTTTTTACAGAGAGGAGCACAGGGACTGGCCTCCTGCTGGGACTCTGAGGAGCACAGGGACTGGCCTCCTGCTGGGACTCTGAGGAGCACAGGGACTGGCCTCCTGCTGGGACTCTGAGGAGCACAGGGACTGGCCTCCTGCTGGGACTCTGAGGAGCACAGGGACTGGCCTCCTGCTGGGACTCTGAGGAGCACAGGGACTGGCCTCCTGCTGGGACTCTGAGGAGCACAGGGACTGGCCTCCTGCTGGGACTCTGAGGAGCACAGGGACCGGACTCCTGCTGGGGCTCTGAGGAGCACAGGGACTGGACTCCTGCTGGGGCTCTGAGGAGCACAGGGACTGGACTCCTGCTGGGGCTCTGAGGAGCACAGGGACTGGACTCCTGCTGGGACTCTGAGGAGCACAGGGACTGGACTCCTGCTGGGACTCTGAGGAGCACAGGGACTGGACTCCTGCTGGGACTATGAGGAGCACAGGGACTGGACTCCTGCTGGGACTCTGAGGAGCACAGGGACTGGACTCCTGCTGGGGCTCCGAGGAGCACAAGGACTTGCTTAGAGCTGAAGGATTGCATCTTCACATCATTATCTATATTATTTTAATGCTTCTTTTCTTGTTTTGTGAATTACCTTGAGGTGCCTTGCATGAACTGCTGTACACATAAACTTGCCTTTGCCTTGGAAACATTTGCGGCACCATTGACTCTGCATGTAAACCTGCCGTACCACTGGGTCTGGTGAACGGTGGGCGGTGATCCCTGCACCTGCTGCGTCGGTCTGAAGAGTCTCAGATCCAGAGAGACTCCAGCGTCACTCGGCAACAGAAACATACTGAGCTGAGAATTTACTATAGTTTTAATCCACATTCTGCATGTTCCCGGATTCAATAAACTCCAGCTGTGAGTGACTGCTCTCTATTGCCTCCCTCTCTGCTCTCTCTCTCTGCACTCAGCCTGCTTTCTCTGGCCTCTCTCTCTTTTCTGTCTCAGGGCTTTTTTCACTCAGATTCAGATTCAGATTCATTTATTTGCCATTTGCAGTAAAACCACATTGGAAAAACTGTGCAAGACTACCCCGGTGTGCGCCAGACGACACACACCAGAGCTCTTGCCACGGCGCCATTTTTCCGGCGCCATGCGCTGGAAAAATGCGCTGGCACTCTCTCTGGCCTCTCTTTTCTCTCTCTCTGGTCTCTCTCTTTCTGCTCTCTCTCTGGCTTCTTTCTCTTCTTCCTCTATCAGGCCTCCCTCTATTCTCTGTCTCAGGCCTCTATCTCTGCTCTCTCTCTCTGCTCTTTCTGCTCTCTCTCTCTCTGGTCTCTCTGGTCACTCTCTCTCTCTCTGGTCTCTCTGGTCACTCTCTCTCTCTCTCTGGTCTCTCTGGTCACTCTCTCTCTCTCTCTCTCTCTCTCCGGTCTTTCTGGTCACTCTCTCTCTCTCTGGTCACTCTCTCTCTCTCTCTCTCTCTGGTCTCTCTGCTCTCTCCTGTCTCTCTGTTCTCTCTCTCTCTGGTCACTCTCTCTCTCTGGTCTCTCTCTCTGCTCTCTCTCTCCCTCTGTTCTCTCTCTCTCTGGTCTCTCTGTTCTCACTCTCTCTAGTTGCTATAGTTTTAATCCACATTCTGCCTGTTCCCAGTTCCAATAAGCTCCCAGCTGTGAGTGGAGCTCGCACACCGCTCTCACTGACAGCTCTTAAATTAAAACTGATAACATTCTTGTGGTCCGGCCGCTCTCAGGGGCCGCTCTCAGGGGCCGCTGACAGACCTGGACAGACCTCTGGCTCCAAACACAAGGGGGTTTTGTGGAGGAGAGGCCCGGACCACCTGCAGACTGAGACGGGGTTTACCTGTGGAGAATGGAGGAATGAGGGCCGTGGACATGTGCGTTCAAACGACTGGGAAAAAGTTGATCATTTATCGACTTCCAAAGGTTTTTCTCTGACGGACCATAACAATATCGTTCAACCACCTTTAACAACTTCAATTAAATCTATTTTTTGAATTAGCTCCCCTGAGTGCACGGAGCCTCTCTCTGGTCCCTCTCTCTGGTCCCTCTCTCTGGTCCCTCTCTCTGGTCCCTCTCTCTGGTCCCTCTCTCTGGTCCCTCTCTCTGGTCCCTCTCTCTGGTCCCTCTCTCTGGTCCCTCTGTTTGCACTGGTCTCTCTCTGGTCGCTCTGGTCTCCCTCTCTCTCTCTCTCTGTCTGGTCTCTCTCTGGTCACCCTCTGGTCTCTCACTGGTCTCTCGTAACTCTGTGGCTGGTGACTTGAATCCTCGCTTGTTTTGGACCTGAGAAAGGAACGAGTTTTTGACACCAATTGGCAACGAGTAAACACAAGAAAACAAAGTGCTGTCACTAAGTTGAGACGAGAGTGTGAGCTTCAGCGGCGTCCTGCCAATACACACACACACGCACACACACGTTTTTGTTACCTGGTGGGTCCCTTTGACAGGGCCGTTCAGAATGGGACCCATAGACATAATCTTTTTTACTGGGACTACTTTAAGTAATACAAAACAGTCAATAGAAAACAAACAACTCTTTTAAAGGAATTTTATTATCATTATTTTTTTTCGAATTGCAGTGATTCTATTTTTGACATAGAATTTAATGCCACTCCATGTCCGATGTCTAAGGTCATCTGGTGAGGCATTAATGCAGGCCAGGCAGTGAGACTTCCCAGGGACCTTTCCAGTCTGTATGAAAGGTGTCATGGTCTTCTCCACAGCCTTCACCTCAGATGCAGACCATGGCTTTCTTACACGTTCTAGGGAGAGAAATAAAAATATATTAGCAATATACACTCCCAGGGTTAGGACCAAGCAGCCTGGCTGTAATCCCCCACCTGGTACACTTACCAGAAGGGGCACTGCCACTACCATGGGGTGCATCTGGATGAATGGTTGAAGGTTCTCCGCTTGAAGTTTCTTTTAGCCCGTCCGTTTGTGAGAGGATCTCTACTGCTCTCTCTGTCGCACAGAAAATAAAAATACAAGTGGCCTTTAGAGAAAAAAATTATACATATTTTAATATTGTAGGGAGAAAATATTCCTAATTGTGACCATACCGGAGTGCTCCCTCCTAGGCCCGAAGGTCATTCTGAAAAAAGAGAAGATTATTGAGATATTTCACTAGTTTCTGAAAGTATGATTCCTGTCATTGGTGTTACCGCGAGGGGGGGGGGGGGGGGGGGGGGGGGGGGGGGGGGGGGGGGGGGGGGGGGGGGGGGGGGGGGGGGGGGGGGGGGGGGGTGGGGGGGGGGGGGGGGGGGGGGGGGGGGGGGGGGGGGGGGGGAAACGGAGTGTTTCTCCGAGAAGGCGGAGATGGCGAGAAGGGGCGTGGCGTGAAAAAGGGTCTCAGTCGGGTCACGGAACATCATGTCATTTTGGTGGGGACTTTTTCGTCTCCAAATATTGGTGGGGACATGTCCCCATGGTTCCCACGCAAACCTACGCCCTTGCCTGAGCGTTTCAGTCGTGGCAGAGCTAAGGGACTTAACCTGCCCCTGTGGCGTTGGATGTTATTATGTTTCTCGCAGATGCGTGATTCATGAAAAGCAGTGAATGAATACGACAAACGAAATGGGACCTACTGTAGACATGTTTAGGTGGAGCTGTGAGTGGATAAGATGAGGCGAGTTGATTGTCGATGTGGAGAGCTTATAGCTTTTACTGTAGTTTTCAGGTGCAGTACTCCTGGAAAAAGTAAAGGTGGGGTGTTTGAGTTTTAAAAGGTTGAAACTGTGGAGGGAACATGATGTAACTATGGCGGTGTGAAGTGAGGAAAAAAGCGTGGAGATTCAGAGAGTGGGAAGGTTGTGAATATGTCTCTTATGCAGAAGCAGTGAGGAAAGTTCAATATCAAAAACAGGAGCGAATGGAGACGAGTGATGCTAGAGGAAAGGAGCAGAGTGTGATTGAGGGTAATTGGTGCGTGATAATTTGATGGTGTTTCTAGATATGTCATAAATTGTTGCGCATCAGCAAGCATAAACAGATCAAAATTTACGACTATTGGGAAGGTGAGCGGAAAAGTACCTCGGGTATGAGAGGTGTTTTCCTGGGATCAAGGGTGGACAAAAGGTTGGGAGAGGCGAGAGGGAGTGGGAGTGGGAGTGGGAGTGAGAGAGTAGTATGAGATATTCAATGGCAGAAAAGGAGTTTAGTGGTAATGGACAGGAATTAAAAGGTTATGATGCGTACAAGGAGAGGAGACGGATATATATGTGTTCAGGCAAACATGGCTTATGGTGCATTCAGACGCAAACCGCTCAAACGCTGAAGCCCGTTGGACAAAGGAGAGTTGTGTTAGGGACAGTTGGATAAATGACCTCGCAACTCGTTACCGAAGGGCATAAAACATTGGAGGGAGAGTGAATAACATCGTGTGCCAGCAATGAACTCTTTGACGGCAAGGATTTGCCACTTGTGTACGGAGGTCCTGAGGGAGCGCAATTCGGTTTAATTGGATGGATAATATTAATCTGCCTGCTTTTGACGCCTCAATTGCATATATATTGTCCTTCAGGCGATGTGGTTTTTCTCATGCTGTGTCTTCTTTCCACTCGTATTCAATTCTCTGCCAAGGCATATACAAGGCCCCAATCTTACAACAACCTCACACTTTAGTCTCCAGCTCGGAATCCGTCCCCGCCTCCCTCTACCTATCCATCTTCTCCTTCCCTCCCACACTCCTCATTGTCTTTCGGGGCTACCCCTCTGATCCTGCCTCCTCTGACAGCCACATTGACGCCGGCAGTCGGAGGTGCTCATCCCGAGAAAAAAATCCGTGGTTTATACAAAGCACAATGTGTCTATCCAGCTGTCGTGCCGTGAATGCACTATGGGTTACGTTCAGATTTAGATAATTATAGGTGTCTCTCCGCTGGTCCATTTCACCTCAAAATGTGACATCTCACCTCGTCAGACAGTTTCTCATTTCAATGTCTTGAAGCTCTGTCAGGGCTTCATACCGTGTACTTCAGCTCTATTCTTTTGTACTCCTCTCATTCAAAACACTTTCTTCTCTCAAATAAAAAAAAAAAAAAACTCAAGTCTCTTTAGGGTCTAATGAAAATATTGCTACATTTTATAAGGCGCGAAAAAACCCGGGAAAGGTTACTATGACAACAGTGCCCCTGGCCATGTATCCCTATGGGGCAGCAGATAGGGCTGTGGTTTAGAAAGTAAAATGCGTCGTAAAATCTTGTTTTCTTTACTTTTTCCAAACCCAAACACACCAAAATATAAACAACAAGTAAAGTAAAAGTCATGAAATTTCAAACTCTGGCGTTTTGTTTTGATTCCACTAATAGCATATTAAAGTGAGTGACGGTCAGTTGATCCTGCTAGGGGCTACGCTCCTCGTGTTAATGGCGATAGTGGCTCGCTATCTGGCAAAACAATTCCAAGTGGTAACTTCTGTTTGTTACTTACATGGCAATAAAAACTAGAAACTTGCAATGGCTGAAGCCATTGCGTTTGATGCGGAACAGATCTAATGTGAGAAATCTGCTAAAAAAAATCCTTGAATCCTTTAAAAGAGCCTTGAAAAGTTAAAATACTTGATAGATATTAGAAATCCTGAAGTCCTTGAAATTGTTGAAACCTTTAAACTTCTGAAATCCTTGAACTGTTGAAACATTGAAACTCATGAAATCCTTGAACCTTTTTTTTAAACCTGGAATGTTGAAAGTGTGGACATTGAATCCTTGAACTCTGATATCTGAAATGGTTCAATTCTTAACAGTTGAATCTTGAAATATGAATGTTTTTGAAGTGTCTTGAAACTGAAAAATCCCTACGCGAAACAATTTGGTTCTGTAACTAAGGAAACCTGGTCTTGTGGTCATTATCTGGTGGTGGTCTGAGTCTTCGTTTGGGTCTTGGTTGGAGGTTATAATGCACTATTAGGTTTGCTTATACCACAGAAAGACCAAAACGAGACTCAGACACCACCAGTTAATGACCAAGACCAGGTATTCCTTAGTTACAGGAACCAAATTGTTTCAGCGGGTGAGGGGATTTTTCAGTTTCAAGGACATTTCAATACATCAGTTAGATTCAAGGATTTCAACTGTTTAAGAATTTAACCAGTTTCAAGGATATCAGGAGGTTCTAGGATTCAGGAGTTTCCACATTTCAAAAGTTTCCAGGTTTAAAAAAAGTTTCAAGGATTTCAGGAGGTTCAAATCGTTTAAACCAGTTTCAAGGATTTCTGGAGTCTTAAAGGTTTCAACAATTTCAAGGCTTCAGGAGTTTCAAATTATTATCAAGTTTTTAACAGTTTTCAAGGCTTTTAAAGTATTTCAAGATTTTTTTTAGCAGATTTCCAATTAGATCTGTTTCCGCAGTCAATTCGCAATGGCTTCAGCATTGCACTTTTAGTTTTTATTGCCTATGTAAGTAAAAACCACGTTACCATTGGAAATTGTTTTGCAGATAGCGTGCCCTTCGCCATTAACATAGGAGCAGCCCTAGCGGTCAACAGACCGTCACTCACTTTAAATGTAATTAGTGTATCAAACAAAACGCCAGAAGAAGTTGATATTTCATGACTTTATGGGTGGTATGTTGTTTATATTTTGGTGTGTTTTGGTTTGGAAAACAGTTAAAGAAAAAGATTTACAGCATTTTAGCTTTATCTAAACACCAGCCCTTTCTGCTGCCCCATAGGGAGACATGCGGCAGGGGCGAATGTTGTCATAGTAACCTTTCCGGGGGTTTTTTCCGGCCTTATTAAAATGTATCATTCTGTTGTCATTAGACTCTAAAGAGACTTGAGTTTTTTTTTTTTTATAATTGAGAGAGAGAAAGAGTTTTGAATGAAGAGGAGTACAAAATGAATAGAGCTTGAAAGTAACGGTATGAGCCTGACGTGCTTCAAGACATTGAATGAGAAACAGTATGAAGGAGGTGAGATGTCAATTTTTGAGGTGGAAAGTGACAGCGGAGAGAGACTATAATATTCTAAATTGACGTAAAATCCCATAGTGCATTCACGGCACGGACGCTGGATAGGACACATTGTGGCTTTGTTATAAACCACGGGGGATTTTTTTTCGGGAATGAGCACCTCCGCCACTGCGGCTCATTGTGGCTGTCAGAGGGAGGGCATGATCAGGGGGAGGGGGTGAGCGGAAAGGAAAGACATGTGGAGTGGAGGGAGGGAAGGAGAGATGGATAGGTAGAGGAGGCGGGGGGGCGGTCCGTGCTGGAGACTGAGAAGTGTGAGGTTGTTGTAGATTGGGGGACCTTGTTATATGGCCTTGGCAGAGGGAATTGAGATACGAGTGGGAGAGAAGGACACTGCAGGAGAAAAAAACAATGATGACCTGAGAGGGACAATTATTTATGCAATTGAGCGGTCAAAAGCAGGCAGTTTTATTATTCATCCAATTAAACCGAAATTGCGGCGCCTCAGACCTCCGTACACAGAGGAAATCCATCCGGAGTCAGAGAGGAGTTCATTGCTGGCCACGATGTTATTCCTTCATCTAATGTTTTATGCCTGACGTGAAACGAGTCTGCGAGGTCTTTTATCAACTGTTCACTAACACAACTTCCTTTGTCCAGACGGGGGGCTTCAGCGTGTTGGAGCGTTTGCGGTCCTGAATGCACCATAAGCCTGTTTCCTGAACACTTTTAATATAGGTCTCCTCTCCTTGTTCTGCACATAACCTTTTAATTCCTGTACATTAGCCATAAATCCTTGCGTTCATGGAATGATTCTCATTTACTACTTTTATTCTCCCTCCCTCCCACACCCACTTCTTTCCTCCTCCAACCTTTTGTCCACCTGTTCCCAGGAGGAAACACCTCTCATACCCGAAGGTACTTTTGCTCCCTTCACAATAGTTCGTTATTTTGATCATTTTATGCTTTGCCTGGATTTCGGCCACACATTATGGCATATGTAGTCGAGAAACCCATCAATTATCACGACACCATATACCCCTCAATCACATCTGCGTCTATCTCTAGCATCCACTCTGGTCTCATTCGTCTGGGTTTGATTTTGTGAACTTTTCTCGCTGTTCTTGCATAAGAGACATTATTTACAACCTTCACTTCTGAAATCTCCACGCTTTTATCCTATTACAACCTGCCTCATAGCGTTACATATGTTGCCCTCCACAATTTCTACATTGACAATCAAACCCCCCACCTTTTTACTTCCAGGGAGTACTGCCCTGTAAACTACAGTTAAAAGCGTAGCTCTCCACATTCTGGACTATCAACTCGCCTATCAATTCACGCACAGCTCACCTAAACAGTGTCTACAGTAGGTGCCATTTCGTGTAGGCGTCTTCATTCGCTTTTCTGAATCACGCTGCTGCGACGTGAAA